CCCTGCACTTTTATTTTGGGACTACGGGACGGTATCCCGGGAGATCTTTTGATATTGATATGAGATTTGGACTACGGGACGGTATCCCGGAAGTTCCATTGGACAGTTGAGAAAAGGGCTACAGGACGGTATCCTGGGAGACCCTCGTTGGTATTCTTGTAATTTTGCTGTATTTACTCTGTGTTTCTGTTTTGTCTTGCAGTACTATATTTCATTGATCTGTCTTATCACATCGCTGTGTTCATTAATTTTCATCAGATTTCGATACTGTTAATATCTTGCTATTTTATTGTTTCTGTCTCAGTAGGGCCCTGACCTTTTCCTCGTCACTACCCAACCGAGGTTAGGCTTGGCACTTACTGAGTACCGCTGTGGTGTACTCACGCCTCTTCTGCGCATGTTTTTCATGTGCAGATCCAGGTGCTTCTGAGCAGGCGTACCGCCAGTAGCTGTCAGGGAGCGTATTGGGGACTTAAGGTATACATCTGCTACGTCCGCAGATCCGCAAAGTCTCCTTCTCTTTTTATCCATAGTTGTTAGATGTTATTTCGATCCCTCTTTGTATTAGACTATTCTGGTGACTAGAGCAGTGTAAGACTTCTTATAGCCTGTGTTGCCCGTGGGTTTCCGGGTCTTGGAGGTTGTTTCAGTATTTTGTATTAAAGTGTATGTGCCAGGCAGCAACTGTATACATTACTCATGTTATTTAGCTTCGAATATAAATTTCGCAAATGTTGTTACTTCCGCAATGTGTTAGGCTTACCTAGTCGTGGAGACTAGGTGCCGTCATGACGTGTTCACAATTGGTGAACTAGGGTCGTGACATTAAATATATATTTAAGCTATATTTTCTTAACGACAGAGCTAGAAATTCATATTAGAGGATTGAAAAACACCCAACTTTCTTTTGTCCGGATTGAACTTGTGAGCTAAATAACTTGGGGTGTTTTTCAATCCTCTTATATGAAAAACTCGGATTGAACTTGTGAGCTAAGAAATTAATGAACTTTATTCTCCTCCTATATATATATATCATAATATTGAGGTGTCGTAAGTCGTAACCAAAAGTTCCACGGCGTTAACTTCCACCATCATCATTTTGTTTTAATGTTCTTTAATATATACTCTCGCGAGTTCTTATACTCGTAAGCTTGACATAAATGACTTGAAAATATAAAAAGTAATTTATGTTAGTTACTCCAGTTTTTCTGATCGGCAATTTCATTCATATTTATTCATCATAATTCATAGACGACTTGGTACTAGGATTGCTCCTGGGCCAGAGCAAATCGCACCGTTCTAGTTCCTATAATAATTCTTTGCGAATTGTTTTCGCAAATAGCAATAGTTCCAAAATAAGTCAATGAGACGAAAATTATGATGTTCAAGACCAAATAATTTAGACCAATAGGCTTATAGTATTGAAAATCATATTATCTGAGTCTCGTGTTGGATCAAGTTCTCAATCAAAAGGCTCTCAAAGAGGTGTTTTTCTTTACAAGAAAACACAAATCATGCAAAGCTGACATATTAGGAAAACATTCAGCAAATTGCTAATAAAAGATATTGGGTTGTCAATCTCAACCCAAACAGCCCAATTTTCGAACGCATTGGATCTTGGAAAGAAGGCGAGATGATTTGTCTTTTTGGGCCAAAGTCCAATATAATTGTGCTACTACTCGTAGCTGCCACAAAAGAGCGTATCTATCAGAGGGACCTTTTTAGAACAGCTATTTATATTTTAATCTCATTAAGAAAATTTTAAAAAAATAAGTCCCGCGGTAAAATTTTGAAACACCGGAAATTCTTGGTAGCATGCTTCAAAATTGTGGCAACGTGCTTCAAATTGATGCAGCGTACTTCAAAATTCTAGCAGTGTACTTCAAAGTCTAGCAACGTGCTTTAAAATTTTGACACGAGTTTATATTTCCAACACTTTCTTTAATGAGATCAAAATTTAAATGGTGACACTAAATGATCTTATTTGTGCAAATAGCCCTATCCAATACTCTCAAAACTAATGACAGGCCCAAGGATTTAACTGAGTCAAGAAAGTGGGATCCACACCGAAGAGAAATCCACTTTAGGGACGGATAGATTGTAACTTTATCCTAATCTAATAAATGCACCCTAAATTATTTGATATCATTTCATTTGTAATTCTATTTTGTATAATTTTCAAAAAATTATTTAAGTGATATTTGCTCTATCATAAAAACTATTTTATTTATTTCATTCTGACCACTACGACACTATTAAGTTTGACCATGAAAGAAAGATAGGGTGATTTATGAAAATTTTCTCTGATTGTATTCACTGTACACAACTCTATTTATACAAGTATTTCTATATCTAAGATAAATAAAATGAAAACATATGAAAGAATATTTCTATACACTTGTACTATTCTTATTGCTTGTATGTATAACCTCCTAACAGATTTTATTCTCCTACATGTGCTCATCATGTGTAGGAAGCTTCTAATATTTACCAACTCAGCAAAAAATAAACGGCTGAGATTTATTCTTCATCAACTAATCTTGTGTTGTGTGATGCTGACGCGTGTAGGGATTAAAATGAACATAAAGATGAGGACATTACATAGTAATATCCGAAATCCCAATCGAACCCAGGCTGCTTCCATACTTCGACTTCTTCACCTTTCTTCTTCTTCTTCATCCCTCTTCTGTAAATCATCTTTAGTCTGTGAATTGATGAGCTTATCCTCAACATCCCCCCTCAAGTTGGAGGGAGAGAATGGACCCCCAACTTGGTCAAAATGTGGCGGTGGGAAGCCCCAGACAAGGGTTTGGTAAAGAGATCTGCTAGCTGGTGCTCCGAAGGAAGAAAAGAAAGCGAGATTAGCCCAGAAAGGAACTGTTGACGGAAAAAATGGCAGTCCAGTTCGACGTGCTTAGTCCGCTCATGGAAGACAGGGTTGCGAGCGATGTGAATGGCGGCTTGGCTATCCGAGTGAACGGGCACTGGAAGAGTGGGTGGTGCTGAGAGATCAGCAAGCAAACGGACCAACCAAGTGATTTCTGCGGTCACCCTCCTCATAGACCTGTATTCCGCTTCTGCTAAGGATAAAGAAATGGAGATTTGTTTCTTCGATTTCCAAGAGATTGGAGCACCACCAAGAGTGATAAAGAATCCGCTTACTGAACGACGAGAATCTCTACACGCCGCCCAACCCGCATCACAAAAGGCAATCAAATCAAAAGAAGGATCAGCAGACAAGAAGATCCCTTGGGAAGGATCTGCTCTCAGATATCTCAAGACACGCAAAGCCGCTGAAAAGTGTGAAGAACAGGGCTTTTGCATATACTGGCTTAAACACAAGACAGCAAAACAAAGGTCTGGTCTTGTGTTTGTGAGATAGTTCAATTTACCTACTAAATGTCGATAAACAGTAGGATCCTCTAATGGTGTCCCTTGGTCTACCTGAAGTTTGCAGTATGGATCCAAAGGAGAAGAGACTGCTGCTCCTGAACAATCAAACTCCTGCAACAATTTTGAGGTAAACTGTCTTTGACTGATGATGATGAAACCCTGCTTTTCCCTTAAAATTTCCATCCCCAAAAGTAGTGTATATCACCTAAATGCTTGACTTTGAATTCTGTGTTGAGGAATGTGCAAATGTGATCAATTTTCTTTGTGTCATTGTCTGTAAGTAATATATCATCTACATAAACAGCTAAAATGGAAATTAAGCCATCTTTCTGTTTAAAAAACAGGGAATAGTCATTAAGAGAACTAGAGTATCCTTTGAAACTGAGAGCTTCTGCAAGCCTAGAATACCATTGTCGTGAAGCTTGATTCAAACCATAGAGAGACTTCCTCAATAAACAGACTTGATTAGGTTTAGGGGGAACAAGTCCTGCAGGAAATCTCATGTACACTTCTTCCTGTAAGTCCCCATGTAGGAAAGCATTATTAACATCCAATTGAGAAACTTTCCAACCTTTCTTTACTGCCATTGTTAAAAGACATCGAATGGTAGTCATTTTCACCACTGGTGAAAATGTCTCAAAGTAGTTTATGCCTGCCCTTTGAATGTCCCCCCTTACTACTAGCCTTGCTTTCAACCTCTCCACTGTTCCATCAGAATTGTGCTTCACTTTATATACCCACTTGCAAGGCAAGGCTCTCTTGCCCTGTGGCAAGTCCACAGTGTCCCAAGTGTGGTTAAACTCAAGTGCCTCAATTTCTGCTTCCATAGCCTTCCTCCAACCTGGATGTGCAGAAGCTTGAGCAAAACTATTTGATTCTGAAATAGTAGACAGTGTTTGAAGTACCTTTTGGCTGTTGAGTGAAAGAGCACCAAAAGAAAACACACTAGGCTTGGAGGGTTGAATGAAACAGGAAAAGGTAATATCAGAAAGAATAATAGTCATTCAAATATGCAGGCTTTTGAGTGATCCTTTCTGACTTTCTGATTGAAGGAGGTGGAATGGGAATAGGACTATTAGACAGAATTGGAACTGGAGAATGAAGGGGAGACTGTGTATCACTAGAGGGTGGAGTAGAGTGTGAATTGGTTCTTGGCATAGTGATAGGTTCATCATGAGAGACTGAATGATTGGTGTTAGGTGGCTGAGTGAAATTAGTAGCTGGCTCTGTTGTGGAATCAACACACACATTGTCTGTTGATTCTGCTTGGGCTCTATGGGCAGGATAGAAAGGAAAATCACATGGTGATACTGATGTGATGAAAGGAAAACAATGCTCATAGAACTTAACATCTCTGGAGACAAAAACCTTCCTGCTGTCCATATCCAAAACCTTGTACCCCTTCTGATTGTGAGGGTAACCTAGAAACACACACCTCTTAGCTCTTGATTCAAACTTACCTCTATTTTGAGCTAGAGTTGAGACATAGCATAAGCATCCAAAGGATTTTAGACAGTCATACTTAGGTGGCTTCTTAAACAGTACTTCATATGGTGTCTTCCCTTTTAGAACCCTTGAAGGAAATCTATTTATTAGATATGTGGCAGTCAATATACATTCTCCCCAATATTGAATTGGAACTCTTGATTGAAATAACAATCCCCTTGCAATTTCCAAAAGATGCCTATGTTTTCTCTCCAAATAACACCATTTTGTTGTGGAGTAGCTACACAAGATGTTTCATGTTGTATGCCTTGTGAATGCAGATATATAGATTCTTGTGTCCCCTTTCCCAATTCCAAAGCATTGTCAGATCTGATCTTCTTCACCTTCTTGTTGAATTGTTTTTCCACCATAGTAAGAAAACACTTCAAAACTGAAAATGCATTGCTTTTAGTGCTCAAGAGGAAGGTCCAGGTTGCTCTACTGAAATCATCAACTATGGTTAGGAAATACTTGTAGCCATTGTATGTACTAGTCTTAAAAGGTCCCCAAGTGTCTATATGAATGAGGTCAAATATGCTTGAAGATCTTATTTGACTAATTGGAAAAGGTAGCCTAGTTTGCCTGGCTTGAGGACATACATCACACACATAATCAAAAGTTGAAGGAAAATGGATGAAACTTAGATTTTTCATAGCCGTAAAAGGCAAATGCCCTAATCTGACATACCATTCTCTTACATTAGATATAGCATTAGCAAACACAGGTGCTGAAAAAGGAACACTAGGGGAAAACAGACTGGAATTGCTTCCTTTTGGAGTTGAAATTACATTTTGTTTGAATAAGATCCTAGACTCTAAACTACTAGGCTGGAGCAAGTATAGGCCATCCCTCACTTCACCAAAAGCTTGTCCCCTCCTCATTAAAGGGACCTGCAGCAGACATTTGTTTGAAGTCAGATTAATAGAGCAACTGAATTGGCTACATAACTTATGGACTGATAATAAGTTATATTTGAAAGAAGGGACATATAGAACCCTTTCCAGAATCATATCTGGCTGAATGCTTACTCTTCCTATATGTGTGAGTTAGGCAAACTTATGTGCAGAGGGGTAGGTAAAGGACAGAGTTCTAAGAAAGATTTTGAATCAAAACACATGTGCTCAGAGGCACCTGAGTCAATAATCCAGGTGTTAGTGTTAAAAACAGCTAGGCATGTTCCAAAGTATTTAAGAATGGTACCAGCTACTGCATTAGCATTTATCTCTGTTCCTGGATTTCCTCCATTCCCAATCTGCACCTGCTTGATTGTGTTTACTAGCTTAGAAACTTGTTCCTTGCTAAAAAAAATGATTCTGAGTGCTTGAATTTCCTTAAGTGCATCCATTTGTTTGTCCATCTGTTTCTGTTGTTGGAACCAGTGCATTGACCTTCACTGCTCCTTGAGATATGTTTGACTTGGTAAATTGAAAATCATCTGGAAACCCATTGAGCCTGTAGCAGTCTGCCCTGGTATGTCCTATCCTCATGCAGTGAGAACAGGCAACATTTGGGTTATACCTAGTCTTCTTTCCCTTGAATTTTTGTTGTGTGTTCCCTTGCTTCTGCTGTGGATTCCAAGTTCTTTGGATCTGATTGTTTCTCTGTGGGGTTTTATTCTGTGTTCCCACCATGAATGATGCAACATCAGTGGAGTAAGAGGGATTCATGTATATTTCCCTTTGGCTCTCATCCTGCAACAGTAGAGAATAGGATTGGTCAATGCCTGGGAGAGGACTCATCATGAGTATGTTTCCTCTTGCTTGAGCATAAACATCATTCAATCCCATAAGGAATTGAATAACTCTTTGATCCTCCATGAACTTTGCAATTTTCTTCTTTCCATCACATGTGCAATCACAGGTGCATCCCAGGTGTGAGTTGATAGAATCCAACTCATCCCAAAGCCTTTTTAGAGTTGTGAAATAACCTGCTATGCTGCTACTTCCTTGAGCTAACTTTGAGATCTGCAGGTGATAGAGCTTTGCTCCACTCGATTGGCCAAACCTGTGTTCAAGGCTACCCCATAGATCCTTTGCAGTCCTAGAATAAATTACACTGTCTCCTATCTCCTTGGTGAGGGAATTCAGCAACCAAGAGGTCACCATGTTGTTGCACCTGCTCCACTGTGAGTGCTCTGCAGCATTTAAAGCTGGTTCAAGACAAGTTCCATTGATAAAACCAAGCTTGTTCTTGGCTGAAATTGCAATTAGCACAGATCTTCTCCATCCTGTAAAGCCTCTTCCATCAAATGGTGAGCTAACTAAAGACATCCCTGGAGCATCAGAGGAGTGTAGATAGTATGGGTGATTGGAATCAGTAGTGCTTCCACTGCTGGTGGATCCAGTGACAGTGGGAGTAGCTGTAGCTTCTGTTCCTATCATGGCTGAAAAACAGGTGTGAAGAAGAAAGAAAAGAAGAAGAGAAGAAGAATGGTGGTTGAATTATGAGAGAAAATGATGGATCGAGCTACTGATGCTCTGATACCATGAAAGAAAGAAAGGGTGATTTGTAAAAAATTTCTCTGATTGTATTCACTGTACACAGCTCTATTTATACAAGTATTTCTATATCTAAGATAAATAAAATAAAAATATATGAAAGAATATTCCTATACACTTGTACTATTCTTATTGCTTGTATGTATAACCTCCTAACAGATTTTATTCTCCTACATGTGCTCATCATGTGTAGGAAGCTTCTAATATTTACCAACTCAGCAAAAAATAAACGGCTGAGATTTATTCTTCTTCAACTCATCTTGTGCTGTGTGATGCTGACACGTGTAGGGATTAAAATCTATACTATATTAAAAGCACGAAGGCCTTTAGCGAAATGTCGTTCGCCTTTTTTGCCCTTTAAAAATAAATTTTATAATGGATAAAATTGTAATTTAGTTATTTTCCTAATATTTAGGGTTTTAACATCAAGTAAAATTTTAGTAATTAAATCTTTTCTTATTGCCTAATATTTAGGAGTTCTAAATCAAATAAAATTTTAAATTTATGTTAAATATCTTCTTCCCAATAAGAACGAAAAATGTGAAGAAAAAATACAAACACATAGAAGGTAAGTTTTTTTTCCTACATGAAAGCTGACGATAAACATTTTGTAATTTTTGTCTTCTTACTAATTTTGCCTCTTTATTTTCCTTTCAAAAGAAACTAGGAAATAGAACAATTGCATTTTGGTCATGAGAAAAAAAAAAAGACTGTCAATGAGATGATTAGAAACTTCTTATAATTTCTTATTTTATTGAATTAGCTAAATTGGATCAACAATCACCATTTTTGAAAATTATATTTTTGTTAACATTTATATTATAACTCAAACAAATTTTAATATAATATTTACTTAATTTTAAAAGTTCTATATTCATCAAGATAGAGTATACGCGTACCCTAAGACTAGTGAATATAAAGATGAGGACATTACATAGTAATGTCCGAAATCCCAATCGAACCCAGGCTGCTTCCATACTTCGACTTCTTCATCTTTCTTCTTCTTCTTCATCCCTCTTCTGTAAATCTATCTTTAATCTGTGAATTGATGAGCTTATCCTCAACAGACCAATGTAATATTTTTAAGCTACATGCCAGCCAAATGGGGACGCCGGAAACAGGGAATAAATTTCCTACTATAATTCACTAATTTATATAATTTTGGCCAGATCGGGTAGAGTTTATGGAACTAAAAATTAATGAAGAAGGTAAGTTAGAGTTAATTAAACCTCCGCCGGCCATATCAAATGTGGTCGTGCTCACAAACGAATCAATGACTAATTTAAAGAATAAAGTCTCCAATCTACTTCCACTGTTCATACATAATCTTAATATTTTATATTTGTTAAGTTGAACCTAGTTGATAAAAAATATAAGAGCTTTGACTAACCCTTTGTTCTGCGTTTGTCATACACCTTATCTTAAGTCAGGGAAGTGGAGAATAAATTCTTGATTTCTGCAAATTGCACCTAAATTTAGTGGAAAATTAATATCCCCTGTATCTTTGACAGATTGGAATCCTCTCATTTTCATTGGTATGTATTATTATAACTCTCCATTTTTTAGTTTTTAATTTTGAGATATAATGGACAAATACAGCATCACTTTTCTTCTATATTTAAATACTCATCTGTTCTAGTTGTTGTCCAATTTTATATATATTATGAATTTATGCCTATCCTTCAAGAGGTAATGTATGCAAGTGCTAAACAACTACATACATATATCACTGCAAGTTTTACACCTTACTTGTTTAGTGTCTAAAGGTTTACTTACCACTTGAACAAGTGAAACTGACGTTTTACCGGTAATGCATGTCTTCAATTATCAAAACAATTGAAAATCATTTTGGGTTGTAATATTCTGAACTATCAAAAAATTAAAATTGGCTGAAAATCGACTGTCTAAGTTAAAGCCAATGCATGTTAGAAACATCACGGAACCATAAAACTCTCGGAATCTAATTGTTTATCGGAAAAACCGTTTACACGCTTTGATAATAGTTTTGATAAACAAAGAAGGGGTTAAAGGCAAGTGAAACAAAGATGATCCAAAACCTTAGCGTGTGAACCGTATGAAAGTTTAAAATAAGAACATTGCAATGAGCAAACGTTTAGGATATCAACAAAATAGAATAATCCACATTGTGTATTGATTAATTTTCTTTCTTCCAAGGATCATACAGAGAGAGAGCGCTTCATCTGTTGTAATAGACATGGTCTTTAGCTTCATTTAGAAGCTAGCTATATAAAACAAGCTAAGCTAGAACCTTTTCGTGATAAGACCCTTCGGCAATGCAAAAGGACTATGTCCGTGGTTTAACACAAAGCTTGATGATGATCGATGTCAGAGGGTTGATAAGAATGTGCTCCAGCTGGCGCTCCCGTGTTAGAGTCAAAGGAAAAAGATCCGTTGGGATCGGTGCCACTACCATCGGTCCACCAAAGCCTTAATCACTTTGAGATAGCATCGTTGCTTAGAGGCACCGGTTATCAAGATCTCGGAGTTCCTGGCCAAGGCCACCGACTGCGATGCCATGAGTGTCGGACTTCCAATGGGCCCGGACACCCACGTCACGTCCCTATTGGTACACCTGGCAAGTCTAGATTTTCACCCCATACACTAATTAATGTTTAGTTATGTGAAAAAAGAGAAGATTTAACAAATAGTACTAGTATAGAAGCCAAAACTTAATTAATAATTTTTTTGAACATAAAATATATTTTTGATGTTAAAAAAAAAAGATACAATAATGGGTATTTCGCAGTTTTATACTGCGAATTGGCTTAACGGATTTTTTGTCGTTAAGGCATTTTATAGTTTTATAAAAAAATAATTTTTTTATGACATTTCGTAGTACAGTACTGCGAATTACAATTCGTTGTACTGAACTACGAATTGCCCTAATAAAAACGGGTCGTCTTCTTCCCATAGACAACGATCTCCATTAAAAAATCAAACTCAAAGTTTTCTGGTCTCCCACCCCGCCTACAATTTAAAAAAAAAAAAAGAAATTTCGGCCCCATCCGTCCCATAAAGAGCAAGAAGTGTAGGTTCCACACACAAAAGAAGTTTTGGATTGCGTGTTTCGGGTGCAAAAATTCGATTTCAATAATATTTATATCGAGGTATTTCAATTTAGTTTATGCCGAAACTCATATAGTCATGCATTAGTATTGTTTAGTATGTTTCCATGTGAATTTTTGTTATGTTAGTGTTTAATTTTGTTTATTTTATATACCCGGTTTGATTTATTTGATATCCGAATTTATGTTATGTTTGTGACCAAAAATGCTACTTGATTGTTTGTGTTAAATAATATTATTTATTTTGTTTATTTGTATTGTTGATGTTATGTTCATATTGTATAGCCTTATAGCGTAGTAAAATATAGTGTCTTTTAGCAAAGCAAAATATAGAGCCTTTTAGCGAAGTAAAATGTAGAGCCTTTTAGCGTAGAAATTGAGACTTATAATAATTAAAAATGCTACTTGATTGTTTGTGTTAAATAATATTATTTATTTTGTTTATTTGTATTGTTGATGTTATGTTCATATTGTATAGCCTTATAGCGTAGTAAAATATAGTGTCTTTTAGCGAAGTAAAATATAGAGCCTTTTAGCGAAGTAAAATGTAGAGCCTTTTAGCGTAGTAAAATGTAGAGCCTTTTATCGTAGAAATTGAGACTTATAATAATTAAGAATTATTCGGTGGTACCGGGCGTCAAAAATCAAGCCTGGAACCCATACATAACTATTATCTCCAATTTTAAAAATCATACTTAATTTAATTTATTAAGTTAATAAAAATCTAAAAATGTTGAAATTGAGACTTATAATAATTAAGAATTATTCGGTGGCACCGGGCGTCAAAAATCAAGCCTGGAACCCATACATAACTATTATCTCCAATTTCAAAAATCATACTTAATTTAATTTATTAAGTTAATAAAAATCTAAAAATGTTGAAATTGAGACTTATAATAATTAAGAATTATTCGGTGGCACCGGGCGTCAAAAATCAAGCCTGGAACCCATACATAACTATTATCTCCAATTTCAAAAATCATACTTAATTTAATTTATTAAGTTAATAAAAATCTAAAAATATTGAAATTGAGACTTATAATAATTAAGAATTATTCGGTGGCACCGGGCGTCAAAAATCAAGCCTGGAACCCATACATAACTATTATCTCCAATTTCAAAAATCATACTTAATTTAATTTATTAAGTTAATAAAAATCTAAAAATGTTGAAATTGAGACTTATAATAATTAAGAATTATTCGGTGGCACCGGGCGTCAAAAATCAAGCCTGGAACCCATACATAACTATTATCTCCAATTTCAAAAATCATACTTAATTTAATTTATTAAGTTAATAAAAATCTAAAAATATTGAAATTGAGACTTATAATAATTAAGAATTATTCGGTGGCACCGGGCGTCAAAAATCAAGCCTGGAACCCATACATAACTATTATCTCCAATTTCAAAAATCATACTTAATTTAATTTATTAAGTTAATAAAAATCTAAAAATGTTGAAATTGAGACTTATAATAATTAAGAATTATTCGGTGGCACCGGGCGTCAAAAATCAAGCCTGGAACCCATACATAACTATTATCTCCAATTTCAAAAATCATACTTAATTTAATTTATTACACTAACACAAACAATTAATTTTGTTTAAATTATAGTAGACGACATGGCGTTTCCTCCGCCTGCGCATCCTGGACCTGCCGAGGATCAGCTACTAGTGCTGTAGGGCAACCATAGGTCATCCTATGTTTGGGAGGGACAGCTAGCGATGCAGCCTCTCCGCCCTAGGAGGCCTGATGATTTGTGGGAGTTTATTGCGGAGCATCGTTTCCATCCGC